ATAAGTTATAATACACTTAACTGTCGTTTCATTCAGTTAAGATTGAATGAAAGTCGATTCTGCATACTCCGTAAACGTGATTGCACGTAAGTTTATATGTATTATAAATATTTTAAACAGAAATAGTTGAAGCTTTAACATAAAAGCACTCGTCTCACTGTAATATTAACGATACTGTGTCTCCAATGACTTGAAAGGACAATGTAATTTGTAGGGACCAATCAGGAACGTATGTATATTCTGGCATTTAATGTACTTCACCATTTCTGTAAATACTTCTGATACGAGTAGGATATTGTTAATAATAGCCAGTGCATTTCAATTATTCATGTATATTATAACGCGGCCTCTTGGCATTTAAAATAGTATATTAAAAAATCTTTTTGATTTTGGAGCAATATTAATTTGGAAATAAGGCAAATCTCTTCTTACCGAAAATTAATATTGCCTTCTTAATATTACATAACTTGTATACAAAACATAATCTTCTGACTTTTTCAATACTGTATAATGTTAAAATAAAAAGATATAAGAATAAAATGCATAAAAGTAAATATCTTCCTACGGTAAGAATATGTTACGTAGCTGTATTTATTTTCCAATATCGCAAACTCTGTATATATTTTTTATTTTTCTACAGACCTTTACAAAATAAGGTGCATTGAATTCTTTACATTTCTAAAACAGATACTGCAAGTTTTCTTAAAGTAGATTTGCTGTAAGTATCTGAATGCATGTTGCAAGGGTACTACAGAACGCTAGTAAAGGAGTTTCAGATAGGAATCCTGCAAAAATCTATTCACTCTGAGTGATACGTAGCATACATATCTATACATCTTCTGGCAGGTGTAGTACTTCCGAGTATATCCTTGAATAACTTTTTTAATTAACACGTTGTGTCTTTTATACGTGTATCGGGATAAAGTAGAGATCTTTTCATACCTTTAGTATGTACACTTAATGCAAATATGTACTCATTAAGATATATTCAATTTTATTTGGTAGAGTATTCTTAATACGTTTATCTTAATTAATTGGACAAGAACCTCCATCGAGGGTAGTATAGTATGGAAGCAAAGTACAAGACTTTGCTTCCATATAATGAAATAACTTGTGTTGAAGGGTCAAACAGACCCAAACAGCTAAACAATATTTATCATTATACATTTATAATAATCACTCTATTACAGAATCTTACCCATTACGGAGAATAGAGTCCACATTACATTACATTATACGTTTATAATTCCCACTCACATTAGAAACAGGAATTTAGAACTAATATTTTTATATACAATAAAAAATTAACCGATCGTTGTTTTTACATGGACGATACATTATTAAAAATATTATTGAGGGATTATCAACATAACAATACAAACCAATGGTTATTAGAATTTTTGTCTTTTAGCCTCTCTGACTGTGGCTTTGTTCGCGCTAATCTTGAGTGGAGTTTTACTAATTTATCGTTAGTTTTTTTCCAATCAGTTTACAAATTATTAAGTTATACAGATATGATTTCCGAGCTTTAAAAGTGGATAAATATCTCTTAAATAAAAATATGATTACTTTTATTATTAGATACCTATATGTATATATAGAACAGTATGTGTAATCATATAACAATGTAGATGAGATAATTTGCATTGAATCTGTTGCTTTTCACATATGAACATGACACGGCACCGAGACCTGCTGACCTGATTCCCTTCAGCCACCTGTGACTAGTCAATTTACCTTTAAAAAATCTCAGAAAACCTCGGCCCGAAAGAAAAGCAGTATGTTGACTCAACACACATATAGCCAAAACAGCTGCGCGCCCTCGTTTTCTCAGCCACGCGAATGAGATATTTTTCTTCTTTTATGCCTTTGCCTATAAGGGTGAATCTACCGTGATCTTCTACGTGTTGGTTGTTACATTTCTAACTGCAAAATGTAGAGGAATGCTTAGGAATGGTTGAGACCCGACGCGATGTTTACGGTATTCAAATTGCTGTCACGTGCCGCGCACACGATTTATGCATGCAGCTACTATTGTAGGATTTGATAAAAAGTATTTTCATTCATGCATCGTTGACAAGTTCATTCAAGAACCTAACTTACTTTTTCATAAAACGTACTACTTTATTCAGTATTTTCTTTCTGCGTCTTATTATACTATCTATTTCAATAAGAGTATATATCTCATATAATAGGAGAGTAATATATAATATTAAAAGCGAGCTATTAGTGAGACTTCTTTGTAATATACCTACATCATCTACTTTATTTCCTTACAGATTATTTTATGAGCTAAAAGGTAACCTATATCCTGTTCTTGAGATATAATATATCAATATATTGTATCTTATTATTATGGTTTATATCAAATTTTATTACCAATCGTTCAACATTTTCGCGTAAAATCTTAAAAAGAATAAACAAACAGATAAACCCTTTCTATTTTATAAAATTCGTATGTAGTATGGAATTGTGTCGGCTAGTAAGGATTTAACAATTTAAAAATTATGAAGTCTAGCACGTTAAAACTTTAAACCATGGGTTAAAGATGCCGAGGGGTTTTATCCCTTATTAACAAAAAAATACTGTATTACTTTTTTAGTACTATCAAGAAAATACTTAAAATTTACACTGTTTTCACTACACATCCATTCAGAAAATGTCAATAACGCATTTTGCGTTGCAAAAATTCACAGTCATGAATGATTTATTTCAGAATATTGACTAGACGACACTATGCGACTTCGTCCTACATAATGCAAAAATGCATTCCAAATCCGATCTGTCGATTTTGCATAAGCAAATAAGAGATGAATTATTCACGTAAGACTTACTCGTACGTATCGGTGTACGAGTACGAAAATTTGATCAGTACAATGTCCCCGATTTTTACTTAAAATATTGAGCAAGCTTTTTAAATATCCACAGAAATATCACTTCAGGTAACATATTAGTAATTATGTTATGCTAGTTTCACCGCAACTTTGTCTGCAAGATATAAGAGATATATATATAAGAGATTGGGGCCATAGTGCTAGCAGCAGAAATGGTCAAAGCAAAAGATGTCCTGCTTATTGGCGACGTAAATCAACTCCCCTTTATAGATAGACATAACCTATTTGAAATTACCTACGAGCGACCTAACAAATCAGCAGGTATTACTAGGGAGTTTCTATGCACAAACAGAAACCCCTTGGATGTAGCGTATGCCCTAAGAGAAGTATACAACGGGATATACTCGACCAACCTCCGGACTAGGTCGCTGAGGTTCATGGAATACGACAGCAAAGTCATACCATCAGACCAAAGCAGGACTCTATACCTGGTTCAAAGCTAATATCCGAGGGATATGGAATGGACGAGGAGTCTAAAGTGCTGACGATTCATTAGGCCCAGGGACTGACATCGGAGAGGTTTATTATCATCAATGCTAGAAGTAAACCCTTGGAAGTGCATAGCAGCTACTCTCATGCCGTGGTAGCCATCACCAGGCACACAGGCGACTGCGTATATTATACGAAAAATCGAGAAGACGCAGCTGCTCGTTTTATACAAGAGGCCGAAGGCGCGACTCACTCGGACATTAGTGAGTACTCACTGCAAATGGCGATTAAAAATAGAGCCAGGGCGATCGTTGATGCGCTGATTGCGCTAAAATAATCAGCACATAGAAAACCGGAACAGCTGATGCAACGGCGGGGCGCTTTGGACTGGAAAGGCCGGAAAATGCTCGCTAAAAGTATAATAAAAAAAAGGAAAAGAAAAAAAAATTCCCGAATTACGACAAAAAGTGAACTGTGAAATTAACAATCAATAATTAAACAAAACCTGGACTATAACAAATAGTGAACTTTGAAAATAGTGTTAAAATAAGATTTCATATAATTGTATATGCAATGTAAGAATTCATAATGTAACAATACAACACAATGTAATGAAAACTGTGAAATTAGTAGTAGTGTAAGATTTATATAATTGTATATGCATATTGGTAAATGTAACTGGCTCCTAATAAAGATAGGTGATGCATGCATGTTGTCAACTCACCCGGCCGGCCAGCGGTGGTTCTGGGCCAGACGGATAAGGTCTGCCTCGGTGCCACTATTAGGCAAATTGTAACATCTCGGCTGGAGTTGTACAAAAGTGGAAATTAAATAAATATAATAATATTCAAGTAAATTAAAAAAGGCACGGACGAATATGTCTGTGGAAAATTGTATATAAAAATAAAAAATAAAAAAGATATAAGAGAAACTAATCAATTGACCAAAAATATGCATTAGCTTATGTATTTCTCTGTGCCAAGTAAAACACGTAAGCAACATTGCACAACAATAAGATATAAACAAAAAAACAATATGTCGAATATAACATGGGTGTATGAAGAAATATAATCTTTCTACTTTCTGAGATCTTATTTTACGAATAAAATAATTTTATTGTGTTATTTTTCAAACATAATTAAAATTATTGTCCTAATTGTTATTCCAAAATAAATATACACATACATCCATTTACATAAAAGTAATTATGTTTAAAATACTGTTGTGTAACGATGTTATAAATCTTATGGTGATGAAATCCGTAGATACCAAATTGAATAAAATATCATGTAATGGTTACTAAATTATCTCAGTAATCAGATATTATTTTCTTTTAATTTTAAGTTACATTATTGTCAATGTATGTATACACGTGCCTGACATACAAATTATGTCTTGGTTCTTAGATAGATGTGCAAATTATAAACAAAATCTCTTCTTACATACTGCAATATAATCGCTAATAGAATTGACGTCCTTCATATCGTACTCTTCACTTATAATCCCGTAAAGGCGCCGCTGACTCGTGATACGAACGTACAACGCAGCCGGGCAGACCACTAAGTGCCACAAATCCCCTGTACAGCACCCGCACTCGATAATTCAGTTCTTACCAACACCTACCACTGGTAAACACGTTCCATTCGGGATAAATACAAAGTTGAATATTTTTTGGATATGGCCGTGATAAATCTATTTTTTTCAATATTACTCGTAAATCGAGTAACGTCACAAACAAGCCAAACGACATTACATCCAGAGAGCGCCGTAAATACATTACAAGAAAACTCAAGAGAAACAGTTCTTGCCTTGCAAAACCGACGAATCCGTGCAACATCGGAAACGCCGCCTAAGGTCGGCGCCGGAAACAATCTGAATGCCGTGGAAAGTACAGTGTCGAACGACCGACATCTACCGCAACAGCATTACCAAGCAATCTCCGCGATTTACTCAATCAACACTAAAGATAAAAAATATGACGCAGATGTAAAAAATAAATCTATTCCATCAAAAGAAATGTTGCTAGAAAATCAAATTGCAAGAAGAAGTATTTTAAAACCACTAGCATTGATTAGGAATAGTTGTTTAGAAAATAATTTTACAGATAATAACCTTACTTTACTTGAAACTTCTAAACATATTAATGATCATAACAATGATATATTAATTATTCAAAATCGTAAAGAAATTGGAAATATATTGAACAAACGAGAAAATAATAAGGTAAATAACCCGACGACAATAAATACATGGTTTGACAAATACGATAGCTTAAAAGACATGAAGATGGAAGAGAGGAGACAACAGAAACAAGATTCGATTCTAATTAAGCGAATCACACAACCTACCACAACTACAGATATCATAACAAACAAAGAATCAACAACTACAGTTAAAATTACACCAATGACAAAAGAAATATTTAATGAAACAAGTGAAATAATGAACGTAACTCAAGGTACAACTTTAATTGGAAATAATATGAAAGCAAGTTATACAGAAGATTGGTTCGAAATAAATGATAAAAGTAAAATAAGATTTAATAGTTTGCCACATAGAGATAATTATTTGATACCAGAACTTAAACTAGAAAATGGATTCTATCCTTTCGCATTCATGTCTGATTTTTTTACACTGATTTATCCCTTCGATTTTCCAGTTGGTAAGTAATTTCGTTTATTTTCGTTAATATACGAGTATCTCATAATATATAGTAGACACTAACTAACATGTTTTCCGCAAGCTCATGGGATAAAATAATGAAGAAAATGTTAGTGCTCCTTGACAACATAATTACAATTATGAATTCATAATAAATATTAGTGATGCGAATAAAACTGAATAGTTAACTACGAGTACTTACTTATTTTATAAGTCAAGCTTATTACTATGTATGTTGTCCTGTATGCTGTTAGTGGTGTATAAAACATCATAATAAATTATAGCCTTACAAGAAAAACTAACCATCCTATCCCGTAACGGGATCCTGACGTGATTATACAGTACTTGTTGACATTTTATTTTCAGGGCTTATAAAGGATATAGTGTGGGGAAAATTCACATTTCCATATTCATTTTTACAGGTAATATTCATAAATCTTAATTTTTAACATCTTTATTTATGTCTTCTTATTTTCATTCCTTCAAATAATACTTTGAAAGAAAAGAATCCTAACATACAATTATTAATTTTTATTATATTTTGATAACAAATAATTAATAAAATGTAAATGATTAGGATTATATAAAACATAGGTACTAATAGTAGGTAAATAACATACCATTTAGTATTTTTAACTACTAACTGAAATATGAAATTTTTGTAGTTTTTTTAAACATCACTTTCTTATCACACGTATGTCGCTTAATTGTCTGGAATCAATAAATATTTAGCATTTCTTTCAAAATCATCATATTGCCATCTAAAACTTTTTCAAACATAATAATTTTCAGCGAAATCAAATGAATTCTATTTCACGTCAGAAATACAAGAAATCTCAAAATTTATATTTTCTTAAGAAATATTGCAAATAATACACGATTTAAAAAAAAAGGATCTTCAAATAAATACTACCTTCTCTGTTTATAGAAACATTTTGTTACATCTATTATTTTCCCAGGCGTTTAATTATGTTAAATAGAATTTATTTAATTGAATTTAACAAAAAAACATCCAATATTGACACATTTAATAATGTTTTTAATAATTCAATAAATTGTTAAAACATAGTTTCTAATATATTTTTAACTTGAAATAAGTCGTTTATTAGAAAAAAAATACGATAAATTACAATGAAGTAGAAACGTTCATTTGCATTATTTATTAACTATATATATATAATCAAACTACAAAAAGTTCATCTTTGGGCACCATAACAAAGAATTTCTTCACACTATCACTGACTCGATCTGCAGCTCTTTTTACAAATGGATCTCCAAATTCTTCAGCAATTGTTTTCCAATTCTCATTCATGAAAGAAAGAATACTGTTACCTAAAACAAAAATAAAATTAATAATGTCAAATATTTAGGAACAATGATTTGATGTATAGTATTATAATATATACAATAAAATTACGTATTAATTGAACATATTCTATGTTGCCAAAATCAAATCAATCATATAATAATATTCAATAGAATAATTCAAATTATTAATGATTTTTATTAGACTTAGTTTCTTCATTATTGTCATGTAGTTATAACTTTTATTTAAATATTTTTATTGCAACTAAAGCATACTTGGCATGTGAATAATTTTCATTAAATAAAATAGGCATTTAGAACATTAAGTTACCACATAGTGTGACAAATAAAATATGTCATAATATAAAATAATATAGTAAGAATACTTACTCAATTCTGCATTTCCTTTAAACAAATTTGTAAGCTCATAATTGATTCTCCCATTGAATTTATGTTTAAAGCTAAAGTTCTTTATTACTCGATAACTGACTCCATCACGTTCAATATCTTCAAATTCGATTTTAGCAGCGCATGATAAATTAACTGTAACAAAATTAACAAATATATTTTCAATTTATTTTAACCCTGCAGAGTTATTAATTAAATTATTGGAATACGATACTGACTTCATCATCGTCGCTATCTGCCCTAGGTACACCTTATACAGAGTCGTCTTCATGTTTGACTTGCTTTTATTGCTTAAACTTGCTTTTGCAAGCTGTGTTTTGATTTGAAGGTTGGTATTTGAGTAAAATTACAGAATATTACAAATTATGAATTTAAAAATGTGTGTACTTAGAATTGCTAAACCATTAGTAATACCACAGTCACCATAATGAGTTAAAACCTTCAGTGCTGTTTAAGACCAACGTCTACATACAGTAGACGTTGGTCAATACTACCATCAAATGGACCAATTTAGTTGATTGTTGTTGCAATTATAACAAGAAGGTGTAATTGATTAAATAACTTCTTACTTTGGTACTTTTAATATATGTGTGTGTTTAATGCATACAATTTTCTCATGTAAATTTTTAATAAACATATTCTACATTAGCTAACCCGCGCAACTTCTTCTTCGTGAAACTTACTTGATATTTACATAAATTATGTCTTAATTATATATATCGGTCAAATTACATACTTTTTTTATTAATTTATATCTTATGTATTATTATAGTGTTTAAACTATATCACTGAGCTTTCATTAAAAATTGTTTAGTATTTTTTGCGCGAAAAAGTAACGAACATTCATCATTCTAAAGTTTGTGATAGATGGATCTATGAGTATCACAAATTTTAGCGTTTATAATATTAGTAAGATTCTATTTAACTTTGCAACACCATGCATCTACATCATTATATTAACCATACTCGTATATGTAAATTTGTCTTACTCCAATAGCAGGAACTGACGGTTTCAGTTTCACGTGCTTACAGAAGCGCAGAGGGGATTTAAGTTTATATCCAAGTAGACATAAAGTTAACATAATATTAATAGAGGATATCGTGGCCTAGTGGTTTCCTATCCGTCTTCGACGCCAAAAGTCGTAAATACAAATGTAGAAACTTAGTATGACAATTTATATTCTGGACTAACTGTCCAGTGATGGAAAAAACCTATAACAAATCATATTACCCGCATAATGTCAATATGTTTGTTGCGTTCTCTATAAAGCAGACAGTCGACAACGCCTCTCACCATTCGATCTGATATAAGGATCGTATAAAACAATGTTGTTATTTCAATATTAATAATACAAATATAAATTCTACACATACCAATCTTGATTTTAACGTCTCCATCGCCATTTATTGGGAACATCATAATTCTTCCATGAGCCTTATAATACCCTTTAATTGATACGTCACAGTGAACTGACATCCGTACGTGGTAATTGTCTACTCTGAAAGTATGAATATGTCGCATGATTAAAATATAGAGTTAACTGATACAACGATAAATTATTGCATATCATTATAAATAAAGTAATTTTTATATTAATTACTAGCTACTCACCCCGACTTCGCACCGGTGTACATGTATTATATATATGAACCTTTTTCTAGAATCAGTATTTAGCGGATATCATAGGGCCGCTATTAAGTAAGTCTATCTATTAAAAGAACCCCTTCAAAATCGTTTCGTAGTTTTAAAGATTTAAGTATACATAGGGATAGATAGCGACAACGACAGCGACTTTGTTTTATAGTATGTAATGATGATGATATTGGCTTATTATATTTTAAAATTGTAATAACAAAGTTAGTTTCTAATGACATAAAACTTCAAAATAATAATAAATAGTATTAATTTCATGTTTTCTTTTTGGAGTTTGACTACTCCTATTTATTATTTATTATATGTAGTGTTTAATTATTAGTCTTTAAAAAAACTTACCTAAACTAACTACTTTTTTAAAATTTATATTCATTCATTTTATTTATTTATCAAACATTTAATTATGCATGTATTATACATATGCAGTTATACACTTTTATTTTATATCTAAACTTGATAGGTAAATACTGAAACAGCTCAGAACTTACTTCAAAGAATCAATAATACAGTTGCTCATTCCACTTAAAGTTGAATTATTTAGCTCGATTTTCAAACCCCCAGGCAACAAAAATTCAGTATGATTATTTGTTATAGGGTCTATTGGAAGGACCCCTAATTCTGGTATACCTTTGGAAAACTGAGGAAGTGTCTCTTGTACTCTCTTTATCAGACATTCTGATGTTAATTCGGGGCACGGATGTATATACGAAGCTGTAAAATTGATAAAAAATAATAATGAATTATTGCTAAAAAATAAGCTAGTCTATTTCAGAGAAACTATCCAGAAAAAAATCCCTATGATGTGATGAAGAAAAAGTAAAAATACAATGCGAAATCAGATATAACCTTTTATGGTGAGATGGTCATGTACTCACATCTACTAAGAATCTAGCAAGATATGTATTTACAAAAGAAGTACAATTTGAGTGTACTAGGAATATTGGTTACTTAAAATTAGAAAATAAAATGTAGTATATAAATCCAGTTAAGACTTTCTAACTTATAAGGCCTCCATATTTATCTAATTGCAAATATAAACTACCCGTTTATCAAATAATTTTAGAGAAGATAATGTACTGGCAAGACACCATAAAGCACGTTACTTTAAGATTATTGAAAGCGGGAAAATAAAATTAAATTAAATGGTTTATTTTAAACAAGATTCTGCAGTAAATATCTAGTAAAACAATTACACAAAGAAAGATTATTGTAATACAAAAATAAATAATATTTTATGTGCGAACTTACGAGACACTCTTCCTAAAGCTTGCCTCCAAGACAGCGTGCTGAATAATGTCGCAAAATATATTAATTTATACATTACGGTGTCTTAATAAACAATAGCAGTACTTATTCTCGTTGTTACTCGTTCGTAACTAAAGACAAAATTTACTATTCAATTCCTTTAATATTGCTTATATTGCTAATTGTTATTCCGTAATATTTATTTATAATATTTTCGACGTTTGAAATTATGGCGCTGTCATTAATTGCCTTTCAGAGTCTATAATGAAAAAATAAAGTCTTTTTCACTTACATAGTTAGTTCTTCAATATTACAAATGAGCAATCATCAAGGACGTATAGAATGCGATTTACTATACACTATATTTACTATTACAGCTACATATACTCTCCTCTTATTGTACTGTGCTCTATTTTTCATGTTAAACAAAAGTGATAAAAATATAATACCTAAAACTCTACAAAAACATTTGGTTTAAATTATATCACATGTTTTATAGAGCACTTCTGATGTAAAACATATAGGTAAAAATAAAAAAACCTATACTTTTACCAAATTATTAGATTTTAGTTAAATACTACTTGATTATGGAACCATTTTATATTTGTATTGATATGTGGTCTGAGATCTGTCCTAACATACTATAATCAACTAAATAGGCCTACGAAATCTTATGTTATTGTTGTTAGCATTGGATCACCATGAATTAATTTATAAAGACAATTATTTTTCATGCACAGTTTCAATTGCTTTTTAAATAGGTATATTTTCAGAATAGTACGTATAGATAGAAATTTGATACTCTTTTATAAACCTGTCGCCCGTATTAAGTTTAATAACTACGACAACCCTTGTGTGAACACGTTATTGACATTTTAAAAGGTCTACTTACTGGAACTCAGTACGTATAACATACATGGAAATGAAAATTTCATATACAGAAAACCAGATTAAATTATATATAAAATTTATACATACTTTTAAAAATTTTGATTGCCTATTATATTTGTTTTCGATAAAAATTTAACAGTTTTATTAATTATTCAAAAGTTTAAGTTCTCAGTATTATTGATATATGAAATATACCACTGCGATAGATGGATAAACAGACTAAGTTATACCATAAGGATCCTCTTCTATCTATTTGATTCAGAATACTAAAAATAATAACCATAACACCGCTAAAGCGTAATAACGCTGAAGGTACCCACGCCTAATTTACTGAAAAGCACATTTCTCTTCCGCTAAGACATATTAGTCATTTCATAATTACATCAGCTTTTTTCGGATTATATTTAAGTCTGCTGTGATTTATTGAACATACTTCTTAAACAACAGCATCGTTTGTCTTAGTCTTCTTAGCAGTATACCCAATGTAAAAGTACCATTCATATAATAAATGTACCACAATAACTCATTATGATTTCTCCACAAAACTTAACATTTTATTAGGCAATATACAACTCAACAATAATAAACAAATGCACATGAGTAGTATAGATTACATTATATTATACACCAACACCTGTGTCAGGAAACATTCTGTTGATAGATAAAATCTTCAGATAATCGGGAACGTACAGACAGACGCCTCTGGGGACATTTTTATGTAGAGATTAGTAAAAATATTACCTGCCTACAAAGTGGTATATAGATGTATAATGTAAAATATTTAGCTATATAACATATCAATGGTGTAACATAAAACTAGATAACTGAATATTTTACTTGGGTATGAATTAAAAGTTATTTTCACGTAACATTTTTGTTACATTTTTGTCACCCTCCCACTTATTTTAGTACATTCATTTTTCAACTAACCAATATTTTGTTTTTTTTTTTTTAATTTTGAACATTTTATTGTTTGTTAGTTGCACTAGTGTTACCCACTACCCACATAGCTATTCCTCACTGTTAGAGATAAGTCCACCTTTGCCAACTTTGTATATAATTAAATTTTCTACACTATTTAAAAGTGCAATAAAGAATATATATTTCAGTTTTATTTAATTTAATTACTGTGTACATATATATATATATATTGTTACTAAATATCTTCACTAAAACATTAAGTAATCTGTGCTAAAATTAAATATAAATCAACGATTGTTTTTTGCAAGTAGGTTTTACCGATAGGTTCAAATTCCTTAATATTGGTACTACTATATATTTTTTTCAGTAATAAGATTATTTTTGTGCAACAATTTTTTTTAAGAGGACAACTTTAGTCAGGAATATCATATTTATTAATTTAATATAATTTCATTTCAGTCAATAAAAATTGAATCAACCTTTCTTGGATTCATAGTTATATTCGCTTGCATAGCGTTAATTATGCCATCGTACCTCCTCATCTTATGTTTACTCTCAGTTTTTTCAAAATCAAGATGTGATGATGAAACAGAAACTGGAGCTCTATTCCCAGACGAACATGATTCAGGTTGCAATGAAAGATCATATACCTCTGTGACACTCTTCGTTGTTCTACTATGTTGGTATGTCAGTTATATACACAACTAGTATATATACAATTCAAGGAAGTAAATTCACATTTTATTTTTATGCAAATATATTTATTTTATTCATGGATCACTGGTTCTTACTAATACTATGTAATATTATGTTATCTGTGTTAATACCTACCTTAGTAATGGACCTACATGAATATTTTGAATTTTAATTTTAATATAATACTAAGTTATTACCTTTTTGTGCCTCAACCCTAGTATTAAATCCATAGCCAAACATCATGTACAGTTAATAATTGGGGCGAAGAAGGACATAGAATACCATATATCCAGAAGAAATAAAATATCTTGGAAAAACTAATTATAAACACATTTAACTTTTCAAATGACAATTTCACATAAAGCGCTATGTGAGAAGAGCTACTGAAGTTACTGTATGTCTGTGGAGACTCTAGTACGTGCAATTAATTTTAAAATATTAAGTTGCATCACATTAAGTTAAAACTTCCTTACTTCATCGTTCCCGCATCCAGTGATGAAGTTACGTATAAACTTTATTTAAGTGCAGAGACAATTTCGTAATAGTTTGTTGTTTCAACTGTAATAGGCACTCTGTAAACTGCCGCATAATTGTTTATTACAAACCTACAATATAACTGGGATAAAGTATTTTTTTAGTTTATTCATATCTGTAGTAAAACCGCTTAGTTTAGGAGTAAACGCCTTTGTGTATGTAATATGTCCAAGATTAGTAATTTATTAAAATAATATGAAAACGTCTGCCAAATAAATCTCGTCACACTCTCAAAGAAATATGATACCTGAAGTAGGCTATGGGCTATGGTAACAGTTTACCATCAAATGGACCTGGATGGAATGTATGCTTGTTTGCCACCTACGTGGTATAAAAAAAATATCAGCCAGCAATTTGATGGTATTGCAAAGGTCCTAAAGAATTCAAGCTAATACATAATTAGATCTGCCTATAAATATACCCTTCTTTATATTTAGTTGAAGTTGATGTTTTTTACGTTGGTTCAGACACAAAAAGTAACCAAATATCGTCAGGACATGATATTTAAAATTAAACTTAAACATAGGTTTATATAATAGTAATACAGCACATGTAATGGTAATTGATAGATAATAAATACCTATAACAGTAATTGTTACTTACCAGCATTTTAATATCCGGAATGGCAATAAGCAATGAGCAAGCGCGTACAGCAGCGGAAGAAAGTCGCAACGTGGTGAATTGCGCTTGCGCTGATATTGCCTCCTGGCTCTCTGCAGCTGTAAGAGATTTACACCACAGTCTCATCCCGCCTGTTGATCTCGTGTTAGATGCTTATGAAGAAGATCTTAACAGTGAGTATGCAATAGTAATTCTTAAACTTGCCTGTTTAATGCACGACACTATTATAATTAATGGGATATACATATATTATGCAGTAGTCGGATATTACGTTGGACAATCTAGTGAGGGTAGTTGGTTGTCAAAACTGCTGACACTGCTGATGATGACAAGTCAAAATCTTTACAGTGAACATACTATTTACTGCATGTATTACAATGGCTTAATTTGATGCACCATCCCAATTGTGTACCTATAAAGATATTGTATATATACTATAAACAATATAATGTAGAGATACACTTAGTACAAAAGTCGATTTTGTGAGTACCTTAGTGTTTTTCGTTGTTAAGTAGCTTTGTAGTATGAGTAGATTTGAGAGGTGACATATGGCAGTAAATTTAATGGCTACAGGGATATGACATATTAGTCCCCCGGAAGTCAGGCGTTCCATGATTACGTGATGCCCGTGGAGATTTTTGTGACAGTTTTTTTTATTTTGGTACAATATAAGTTTTTCCATTTTTTAGAGAGAAACGTTAAGCAAAGGTACCTGTGTACATTGTCTGTAGATGCAGTGCACACCTGCTTATTGATATGATCTTCATCTATGTGATGGGTCTATTTTAATTTTAGTTAACAATTACATTACAATATTTTATGTTGTTACTACGGTAATCATATTTATAAAAGCACATACTTACGTAGTAATATATACAAAATGTGAGCCAAAAATGCTCAACCCAAACCAACTTAATATGTGTTTGTATTTTATATTTCCATACATGTTTTATCACTAACGAGCTCGTCCCGGGCAAGTGCTATATCCTCCTTCTAATGCGAAGGGCAAACCTCGAATTTCCGGGAAGAATTTGATGAGATACATTCAGTGATCCTAAAAAATAAACTGTTATATAAATATATTTTGTACAAAAAATAACAGATATTTTACCACAGAATACTATACTATACTATACTATAATATACTGTAACTGTATATTACTTTTTGTGTAGGCATAAACCATTTCTATTGAAGAATAACGATACACAGTATTTTCTAAGAAAACAAGTTTTTATATAGGCTTAGTAAAATAGATCGGTATTATTTAATATCAACCGATACTTTTAGGTCTGTAAGCGATCTATATATAACCAAAGGTATAAATCCGGTTGGCTAGCGTGGTATAACATTGAACCTATTCCTTCATATACCTATCTAGAGAGACTGTAGCACAAAGTGTCATAAACTTGTTACACTATTGTAAACTTTCAGAAATTGTCATGTTAAAGAACATCTTAAATTGAGACTTAAAATCAATATAATTCTTTATTAAATATTCATTCATAGACATAGAGCTGCTACTTGGTGATCCTATACAGCATTCGATTGCATCTGAAAGTGGAATCGACCTGGTATTCGACTCATTAGCTGATATCATAGAAGGTATGTAGACACTTTATTTTAAAGTACTTCTTCGAAAGGAAATATGTTGATGAGAAGACAATAAACAATTACTTTATTTACATATTACATACGTAATATTATTATAATTTTAACTATGACTGAAGAAGTATAAATTACTATCTACCTGACATATGACATTAATAGTAACGTAAAAGAAATAGGAAGCTATGAATGATAAGGAATGAAATATGTATTGATGACTATTAGGTATACACGATATCTCAAAACAGTTCAAGTTTTATTTATTGAAATCCTTTTTTTGAAAGACATTTTTTATATTGTAGATATAAAAAAAAGTCGACTTTTTATAGTTTAGCTTTTTATATATTTGCCTCCAATCACTTTGTATTGTTAGCTATTTTTGGTAGTGGTCTGTGATTTGGAAGTGAAATTACAGGATAAGAGGCATGATATGTTAGTTCTTTGGAATGGCAACATATGAGTGGTTTTACGGGCGTCACATAATATATGATGTTTATAGTACGGTTCATGCTTACTATTTAGGTAAAAAAAATCCAATAGTTACTGAATAGGATAGAATACCCCAAAATAATCATTCAATTAAAAATTAGTTATTACACAGATTCATTTCTATAAAAAAATACCAACAAAATTCTACCACAACCTTCAGTGTCTAATATACCCTTATCTTTCAGAAACCGAGGACCTTTCTACAAAGATATCGTCTTTACGCGGAGTTAGCGTTCGAGCTGGAAACTTAGCAGCATCTGCGGCGGAGAGGATCAAAGAATTGGCTAGACAAATAGAGAACATGAAAAAAAATTGTATCTTAAAAGATGCACCCTTGTGTGATACAATCAATACAAATTCATTAACGCTCAAATTGAAGTTCGAATTGGTAAGGTACATTTAATTTTTGAAAGGCACATCTACCATATAGAAATGACTTTTCACGTTTAAAATTAAAATGACAACAATTATCTACAAAGAAAAACAAGTGCATTAAATATTCTAAGCAATCGTTCTGAATAAAAATTTCTTTTACTTATTGGACATCAATATAAGTAATTTTTATTCAGAATGATTGCTGAACTCAAAGGATTGCGAAAGGTAGGCTAAGAGGACTATTTTTGAAAAAAAATGTTTAGTTATAAAAAACATAAACTCCTTTTTACATTATATAACAGGATTTTTTATTCAGTGGTTATTAAATGTACCCGCCTGCGTTACTCGCCTATACTGACTGTTGACGGGGCATCAGTGAGGGATGATGGGATGAGATGAAGTCAGGTCAATTAGCCTTACGTGGACTAGGACTTAACTACGATGGCTTCCTGGGGCACCGTGGAAATCAACCTGACATCTTACATTGCTAGCAATAAGGCCAATAATCTATATTACTGACAATCCCTTCCCCTTACCATAGTTATTCCAATTAGACTAAACAATTAATAAGAAAAGAAAACAATCAATATAAATGAACGATCAGTTGGGCTTCAAGTAAACTGATTTTTTCTTGAGAGTCATTAACGTACTCGTATAACAGTGCATACAGGAATATCTAACATTTTCCTTTATATATTGTTCCTGTAACGTATCTATGTTTGTAAATTAGTAATATTGTAAAAGTGATTTCGTTCATTGCGGTGGTGGACATTCAGATTTTTCGTATTTATTTTGCAGATACTCCAAGAGCAACAGTTGTTGCAATTGCGTTCACTAGGCGTGGATAACATGACCAATGCTATCTCCGCTGCTAGGAAAGAGTTCAAAATGTTGCCATCCGCTGTATCAATACAAACAGAGCTAGTTAGAAATGGTAAGGATTATATTTCGATTAATTTTGGGTCAGATATTAAACATATAATTTTCTGTTGACCAACATTGTATCGGTCGATATATTTAGGTATATAATAAAATATTATAGTTCTCTAAAGTTGCATATTGTTTCTAGAATTTCAATTAAGCAAGTTTTTTTTTGAGCTAAATACTTTATGTTATGGGAAATTTTGTACAATATATCACTGCAAACTTAAGAAGCTATACTTTTTGACCCTTTTACAGTTTTATTATATGAATACTTATTTCTTGTGTTCTAATTGCCTTGAAGTGTCACAGAATAATAATGTTAATCTACTATTAGTAAGTATCAAATTATCTTATACAAAATGAATGACCTCCATTTTCTGACGTACGTAATATATACGTCGTGGTATATGTAAAATAAATAATTTTATTTCACATAATATAAATGAAATATAAGTTAAGACATTACAAATTAACGACAGTTGATTGACAAATGACGTAAGGATTATATTATCTGTAAGTAACAGGTACTTAGAAGAATCTGTTGCTGTGATTTCTGACTTTCTTTTGTTTTTGTCCGCTTTTTGGAGTTTCAAACAGTTGGAATTTCAATCAAATTGGGGATATTAACAAAAATAGTGATATTTTGTTATTGGTTTTTAAAATATATTCGTAATAATTTTACTAAGTATATATTCCATTCTATTACAATATATTTAACATTTTAACATAGAAAACTTAGCTAAAGACTTTGCGATGTTTTTTGTTCAACACTGGTCTATATAAATGCATAAACTTGTACATATGTATTTATTTATTTCCAGATATACAACGAGATGTAGAAACTCGAAGAGAAGCCATTCATAGCTCCTCGAAGATACTTAATAATATTGTTCGTTATTTAACATCAAGATTACACGATTTAAAGCGAAGATTGGATACTGGTCTTGATAGAATACAAAAGTACGACTTTTGGCGATGGATTCTTATGTTAGGTAAATAGTTCTATCCTTTTGTATATACATTATATTCATATGTTTCTGTGAAAGTAAATTTAACTTGTAACGACAGTATATACACCTTTATGGCTTTAACGAGTAGATATATTGTAAGGAACATTTTTAATATTAAAATGTATGACATTATTAGAACAACATGCTTTTAAAATGTGTAAAAATAATTAGTATATAGTCATCATATTTATTCTCTATTCTATTTTCTCGTATCAACTGCGTTTTGATATTTGTTTTCGGTATGTACTTTCTTTCTTATACTAATTTAATTAATCGATTTTACATTGTGCGATAACATTAAATATAACATATAATAATATATCTCATAAATATAAATAACAATGCGTAAAAGAATAATATGCCTCGTCATTTCTTGCTTTTTACTTAAGTGTAATGGAAGAACACTGACGGCCCATATGATTTTAGACATCAACAGATGCTTATCAAAACCCGTCATTTCATATTATATAATACTATCCATATTCCTATTCTGGAGGAATATATACCCTGTAATTTCACTGTCATATAAATCTTTCAAATCATAACAGAGGTTAAAAGCCAGCTACATGCAAACAATTGTACTGTATGTACATCTAACTCGATCATAATAAATCCTCCTCTAATATGAAAAACTCGTACCCAATAGTCGCATGAGATAATACCATGTTATAATGATTTCTGAAATAGATTAACGTAATATTTTATATACTACATTTTTTTAAATTACAGCTTGCCTCACAGCTTTTGCTTTTGTAATGCTAATGTTATTACTTAGTATGATTTGTGGATGCACCCACGCAAAGGATCACGGCGTAAGGACATTACAAGTGTAAGTATTTTCTTATCATATTATCCAATATAATTATTATAATTCTAAATTTAAATATTCGTAAGACGCTACAATACTTTTCATTTACATAATGATTCATCAATTGTTTACGATAAATTGATAACTTTAAATTCTATGTTAGTACATTTATGTAAATACATACGAGTATATTATTTTTGATCCCGTAATGGGAATCAACCAAACAACCCGCCTCGTAGCAAATGATATACATATATATGGACAATGAACATATTAAAAAAATACAGGCTATTATGAGTTTCCATTCCTGAGAACTAAAGTATTATGCTTACATACCCTGTTAATTTGACTCCCATATGGCTTTAAACCGGAATACAGCTTGCTGAACAAACAGCTAGAACGAAGTGGAACTTACGAGTACACCTACGTGGATACGCATATATCTAACTTTGTATAAAGTTTCCTTCTAGTAAATTTACGATTGGGTTGAACTTATGTTCTAAGTTTGAACTAACATTTGCACCATCGCACAATCCTAATTTTTGAGTAAGATTAACACAAAACATTCACCATTACAATACGTTTAGCATCACCTGCGTAAATCATTATTCATCCTTTTTGTAATCGATTTGACTATAATCCGTATTATGTACCTTATTTTTCTTGTTTATCAAATATTATTTATAGGTACTTTAATGTAATGATTTTTTCATAGGTCTACAGTATGTCTATGTTTTGTATCATTGGTGTTGTGGACTGTAGTCTCTGCGACATTTATTATTATGGGACATGCTGAGGTAATTAATTTACTTTATTTTTATAAACATACACTCGTAAATATGATGTTAGGCTTTATATATAAAAAAGAATCGTTGTAAAATGGAAGATATAATAGCAAATAATTCAATATAATATATTTGCTCATATAATTGTACAGGCGTTGTATATTATTCTTTTCGTTTTCTATAACGTATGTAACTTTAGTAATATTGAGTATGTTTTAGCATAGATGGACTAAAATTAGACTTCCTTTTAAACTCTTGGGCGTGTAACTTTCACGTAACGTTCCTTATTACGATTAATAATTTAAAACAATGTAAGGACGTACCTACTTGTTCTTCACGTACTTGTATGAAAGTAGATAATATCAATATTTGCATTAAATAATTCGCTGAATACAAATACCACTGATTCATTAATAATTTCCACTTACAATTCTATAAATTGTAATAGCTATGGAATTTAAAATTTAATCCCTTAATTTATTGCATTGAATACCTACTACGATTACGAGTAATAATGTTAAATGTTATTCCAATTTGAGTTTCATTTATTTATACGCTATTAGAACTTAAATAAATCACGAATTATATTTTGATGCTAATTAGTTATTATGAACTCCATTGCTGCTCATTATGATTGCTATTGTTATTATAAGAATATTTTGTTTACTGAGCGTTAATAATTAAATAGCGGTGTGGCTAAAACAGAATATAGGTATTACTTTGATGCTCATCTGTATCTCAGTATACAGACTATTTTGGTCTCTATTTACATCTGTCTATAGCTATCTACATATAATAAGTAAAAGTATAAAACTGTATCTCTGATTGATGAATAATCTTATATACAAAATTCTCGTGTCACAATGTTAGTTACCATAATCCTCTGAAACGGCTTGACCGATTTTTATGAAATTTTATATGCATATTCAGTAGGTCTGAGAATCGGCTACTACCTATTTTTCATACCCCTAGGGGATAAGAGTTGTCCACCCTTAACACTATTTTTTATTTTTGGGCAACTTTTTTTATTTATAGTTATTTATAATGTGACATTAAAAATACAACTCTAAATTTTCACCCTTCTATCACCAATCTCTATTTTTTTATACCGTTATTAATTTATATGGCAAAACAACGTTTACCGGGACAGCTAGTAATCTATAGATTTAAGAAGGCATTAAAATTATTTTACAATACGTAGATAATTTTAGTGTATATTCATTCATTCGTCACAAGACCTTTATACATTGGTATGTAATAAACTTAAAACGTTTTCTCAGGTGTACGTTTGTCACGCATTATGGGACGCACCCCAATATGAAACACTTGTAGCTCTTCTAGATAGACCTTCACCGTTGCTGGAAAATGAGGAGGGTATTTTCGATGGTATCTTTAGAGAATTAGATAATGTAACAGTCGACGTGTCTATAAAAGACGTATTAAGGTAACAAATTATGTAATTTAATCTTTATAAGATAATGAGTTACTTACAGACTATAATGCTCTAGTCTACAACATGTATTTTCTATATGTAGTTAAATTTCTAACTAAATTTTCGAAGAAACTCTAATATATAACTAAAACTAGAAATAGCAGTTTTATCGTGGTAGACTTTGTAGAAAGACTCGTAGATAGACAGAGTTACCCACGTCATTTACGTGGGTAACTCTGTTTATCTACGAGTTTCAGCTGCTATGTTTCGGTTGAAGAGTGAGTGAAGGCTGTGAAATTACAGGATAATAGGTATAATATCTTAGTCATCCAGAATGGCCAAGCATGGTACCACGGGCGTCGCATAGTGATATCATAGTTCTACATGTGCATAAGAGACGGTTACCACTTGTCATCAGGTCGGCCATCACCTTCTCTGTCAAGTAAGCTTAACCCTCCATAATAGAGGACACAAATACAACAACTGAAATATTTGGCCTGTTAAGTTTTACATTTCACTACGACATCAACAGTTTAACTTTAACCACCCTATCTGAGAAAAGCAGTTGTAAATCTATTATAATATCAGTAATTCCAAAGTAACAATTTGTTGACTATGAATAACTCGAAGAAACATTACCGGATAGGGAAATAGGTTATTTACTGACCGGTACAAGCAAACTCAGAGCGTCATTTTAATAAATGTTATGACCTCAAATTATGAATTATAGACAGTCCTTTAATGTAGGTGACTAAGAAACGCCCTTTATAACAACTAACGACCTTCATTTAGCAAAGAGCATTAAATAACTGAAATTTTAATAGTCAATTCAAAAAATATTTGTTCATGTAGTATTTGTTGTACACATATATATTGTGATAAGTTAAGTCTACGCATACATTCAGTTAAATCTCTTTGAGACTCGGCTTTTAAAGTGAATTATTACGTAGTTAAATATTACATACTTGATAATATAATTGTTAAACATGAAAGGCTATGAAATTGTATAAGTAGCTTATTTCGGGTATTTGAACGCACAGTCCTGTAAATTGTTAGCACTTTAAACTCCACATTATTTGACACAATATAAAGCATTTAGATTAATTCAGAATTCAAAATACCAAAATCTAATTTAGAGTTTAATCCCATTCTCTAAATTGGTTTTACTATAAATCCCTAATAATACTAAAATACATACGTTACGCTAAAATACGTAATTAAAATGTTATAGTATACTGCAATTTCAAAGCTATATAATTAAAGTGCATTATATTTTATATTTAATTAAATATATTATTGATGAATTAAACGGCCAACACTAAATACCGTAATGAAAAGGCTGTATGTGAAAAAAAAACTTTTAGTGGAATGATATTCCATTTTAACAGCTTTCTGATGGAAAGTATCAACTATCGACTATATACAAGAACTCCAATACCTTGATAACGTCGTCACGAGATGTCCGTAGTAACCCTCGCCGGAGGAATATAGTACCAAGGCTCACTGTCACACCCCTCAAAGCGAATACAGCTTATAAACAAGCTACTTAGCTGCAAAAGTAGGTGATAAAGACGTACCCACAAAGACACCAAGTCTTCCTTACTTTATGAAATAATTATTATATCAAAAGATTTTAATTTCGTAAGATATAATAATATATTTTTTTCTTATATTACGAAAAACATCTATATAATTTTTTTGTGTCTTGTAAAGGGACTGTGAAAAGGATCGTCCGGCCTATCTAGTATTCCAACTAGATAAAATACTCGACGTAAATAAAGAGACGTCATATTTCGAATGGCAAGAACTACAAACAGACCTAGCCAGACTGTCTTCTATCATAGACGTGGGATCACTAAAGACGATATCCTTGAAATTTAATAAACTTCTGAACAACATGCTTATAGTTTCTAATGTTAATTTAGCTAATTACAGGTAATATACATTTTAGCTTATTTTAATGATAAAAACTGTAACTCTGCTAAAATAAATAAATACCAAATCATAAGGCATTGCGATTTATCATTCGGTAGCGATAGATTAAATATTAGGTCAAATAATGAAATTTTAATAAAAATCCTATATCATGCACTTAATACTGAACTGCATTAACTCAAAAATTTAAAACATAACTTTAATAGTTTTGCACTTAAAAATTCAAAATGTCAAGTCATTTCTAAAATTAGTATTAATTACATAAAATAGGCAGAAGTTTAAATTCAAAAGTATCTATTAATAAATAAATATTTTTAGTACTAAGATTTATACTATATTTTCTTATAAATTTATATTTTTGTACGTAAGAATGGAATATAACGGAGCTGTGGTTGGCAAGGATTTGCCATCATTAGTAGACCAACTTGAGAATATCGCAGCTCAAGTGTCAGACCTCACTACCGCAGGAAGATTGGAGACTTTGGGTGAGAAACAAAATTGTTTACTCGAATAAAATTAAGTTCTGTATGAAAACGTACGGCTCAAGAGTTGTCTTATCTACAGATTATTTTATTTATTCTGAAACTCCATTAGTTCTAAATATAAAATTACTAATAATAATTTTATTAACGTTACAATATTAACAGAGTTTTTATTATTATATATACACATGTTCACAAACTGATGTGATACATAAACATATAACTACAAGTCAATAAATTTATAGGCTCAATTTTTTTAATTACGGTATTACCATATTTATTCTTATTCGACTTATTGTAATTAACGAGCATATAGATTGTTATTACAGAAAATGAACAACTTTGCATTAATTAATTCGAAATATATTTCATTATAATAATATATCATAGTATTAATACGCATTGATACAACTGGACAAAGTATTTTATCTCATAGTCTGTGACCAGTATTAAAATAAATTCTTATATAATGCTCTATTTTTATTTCATGTATTAGCTACAAGAACACAAAGATTGTATCTATCGAATATCAAACCACTGGAGCAATTGCGAGCTGAAATAGTATTTAAACTGACAGAATTAGAACTTCAATTGATGCCATTCAGAAGAAAACTAAACATATCACTCAGTCACATCCACACAGCGCAATATTACATTGATAATCAAGGTGAAATTATTGCTCAAAAGGTGAATATTGTCTTCTAAAATTATTAACGATTCAATGGAATACTCAGTCGAATAATCTTGGCTAATATTGTTATGAGAAAGTGAATATAATAATAACCTTGAACAATTCTCACAGCATCATCTAGTCCCAAGTTAAGCAGCGTTTGTGTTACGGATACTAAACAACTGACACGAATGGTTAATTTTTTTTTTTGTTATTTAATAAATAAAATAAAAAATCACACATCACTCTTTTTTTTTGCTTGAATCGAATCGCGATCATTTGAAATAACGTGGTATTGTACATCGCTGGACCACATAGGCTGTTTTTTTTTACTGCATAAGTACTAAATCAATTTTTTTTTAAATTCAAGTAACATAAATTTTCAACATTGGAATATAATTATAATTAGGCAGTTAATACATTATCGTCTGCGTCTCACTCTCATGTATATCTGCCGAACACCTTGTATTTTAAACTGTGTCCCTGTGTTTGATGTGTTAGGTAGGTATATTTTCAATGCCCTTCTTACCCTAAGAAGGGCATTGAAATTATAGGGCACGATATTTTACCACGGATATCACAAATAAGTTTTGTGACGTCTGTAGCGCTTTACATATCTACGACCATACTTGCCACTTGTCGTCACGTAGACTGTCAGCTTCATAAACGTTTACTGAATTGATGTTGATAAATACGATGGCTTACTCTTTTGCAGAAAGTTTCAATGTATATATCGCGTTTGATATCTCATACTGCTGGTTGGCGAACACACGTTCTTCAGTCGGCTGGCAAACACGCGGCTCGATGTAAACCTCTATTCGCCGTATATTCTGCAGCGAGGACTTTGTTATGCACAAGATATATCGCTTCTATGGTGAGATTTTTATTAAATAAACGGATTTTAAATATTAAAAGTAACCCTTTAATTTTGTCAAGCACCTTTATGTCACAAAACAGGAGGGTAACATTTATTTTGTCTAACAAAAATATCACTTGAAAATATCATTTAATGTTTAATACGGTAGGTATTAAACATTAAACGATAAACAAGTCAAATATTCAGTTCACCTACGACCTCTTGGGTGTATGTCCGAGTCTACCACTCTGACCACTGTGTTCTCAAACAAACCTTTATGGTATATTAAAAAAATATTGTTAATTTTATATTATAATTACTATATTACAGCTAACTTGAATCTATTATTATGTCATTGAAAATATCCATACTAATGTATCATGTGAAAGTTTCTATCGGTCCGTTTGTTCGTTACCTTTTTACGCTATACAGCAAAACGGATTGTAATGAAATTTGATATAAAGATACATACACCTACATGTGCATAACGAGGTCGAATATTGGGTATCTTTTATTTTAAAAAATAATCTGGAAGGGCTGAATATGGGAATAAAGTCTATGCAGACGATGCCACGAGTAACAGATGGTAATTTATACTTGTTCAATTCAATTTCGTCTAGTTTTACGATATTATTATGTTAATCCAGTTAAACATGTGCAAGAAGTTAATTATTGTCGGAGATTCTAGAAAGGTGCCCACCTTCATAAGAGTGATTTAATTTTAATTGCGATAATCAATATGGTATTGGATTATTTATTACACGATTTCTTCTCTCAGCTAATCTACATATAAATAAAATTGTAGTATCTCTATATTATATTGCAATGTATCACTTATGAATGGATTATCTAGTTATGTATTAGTAAGTCGTAGCTGATAAAAGTTTAATACCATGAATTATGCCCAAGAGTTAGTGACTTCAAATCTAGCTGACACCTAATAAAACATTTTGTTACATTTCTGTATTACTCTCCGGTAAATGTTATTCTAATAACAAATGATAAAATAATTCTAATAACGCCATCTGAGACGTTAGATTCAAATATAAACAACCTAAATTTGTGCTTGTCAAAACTGTCTGGGACAACAGTCATGAAGGTATTGTATCTGGCATCTAGTGAAGTGAATACTGGTTACAATTAGAAGTCAATTATAAAAAAGATAAATAGACATATTAAGATACAATAGGCGGTTTTATCGCATAAGCCATTTCATCCATACAATATTTGTGTACAAAAGAGAATACAGAAAGTGATAGTTGGCGTAAGAATGGACTAGAGAAATAAAAAAAGGCATTGCAATACTATATATAATAATAATAACTAATATATACTCAATTAGTAAATGTAATATTTTCTGGTCTACTTAGTGATACTATGACGATTTTCTAGTTTGTGCTGTGACTAACATGCTTTAGGATTCACGTCGAGGAAGTTGCAAAACTAGTTTCCTGATGAAGTATTAACATAAACAATCTTCCACAATTTACTAAATGGTCAGACTAACTGACCAAAGCAATTAGTTATTTTGAATATTTGTTGTACCTTCTAGTAAAGTGTGTGTATAATATTTAGGTTAAGTAAACAATAGCTATGTAAAAATAGACAGTAGGCATAGATATAAATATTTAGAAATACTAAAAATTAGTACAATTAAATGAGAGGGCGACAAGTCCTACATGAATAAATTTTTTTTTTTATTTTATTTCATATAATTTCATTGTTTGCAATTAGTAAATTGCCAAGTCTAGTCCTTACGAATATTACAAATTTGAACTATTTATAACTAATTATGCATTCGACTACAATCCAATAATAAGAATAAGATTATTAGTCAGATGTCCCACTGACACAGTCGACATATACCTGATGTATTCTCACGTTCATAATTATATACAATACATAAAAGACAGGCTTCCTTCGATGTGCTAACCAATTTTACGTCAAGTTTCATTATGATATCGTTTAGCCGTTTTGTCTTAAAATGTAAACAAAGAAGCAGACTAATATTTCAGATATATAATATTACTATAGATTCTTAGTTACTTAGAATATATTAGGTATATATTTTTACTTCAACATCCCATTCAGTAAGTATATAATTCAACTACAGTATGTACATAGATAGCCATCTTTTAAATTTCATCATAACACCAAATCATAATTAATTGGACTTACAAGTTCAAAACAACTAATATCAAAATTCCTTTCGATTCAATGAAGTGTTGAAATTGTTCATAAACTTTAATGTTTAATCGTTTAATACCTGTAATCTCCAATTTATAAATCATCAAATTGTATTCGTGAGTTTTCATTTAACATTTATTTACACTTTGTCGAGTTGATGACTCAGAAGTTAAGCCTGCTCTTAAATTATTTGCCAACAAATCTGAATTTTAACAATCAGAAACAATAATAGCTAAACATCATTACGACTTGAAGTTATATAAATGTTATTGTAGATTGAAATTTTCTTAAATGGTGGAAAACACCCGTGAAACACCCCCCCCCCCCCCCACCTTTTATACGTTAAAATTAATTTGAATAATATTGCTTTTTAATTAATTATGGTAATGGTATAACTACCCCTAATTATGTATATCTTTTTAAAATTCCTTAAAAACCGCTTACATGTTTATAATGTACATAGTATGTGTATAGTGTTAATTATGATTTGATTATGATGATTTTTCAGCACGGCTGGTGGGTGTGTGGTTTACTGCTAGGCCTTATATGGTGTACAATATTAACGCCATTATGTGTGAAACTCTGGCGAACATACAGCTGGAAGATAAGAGAACATGAAGCCATGGCTTTAACAAATTTAAATTCAGGGTTTGTATACGAGTATTCATAATGAACAAAGGATATTACTACCAACACCTTCATTATTGACATAGGCAGAATTGTTGAATACTTCAACATATACATAAATTTTATATAGTCTCCTAAGAAGAAGTTGAGATCTTATAAAAATACTGGTTTCCATAATATCTACAGTAATTTCCAAAAAGGTATGCCTTTAGATTTTAAAAAAATCTCCGAAATGGGTAATGAATCGACAAAGATATCGTATACCGTATACCCGAATACTACATTTTTTATTTCAAATCATTGATAATAATAAATCTGTTAATGCGGCGATACTCGATTCTCTCTTTTGCTTCTGCATATCTTATAACTACATCTAATATGATTACATAGAAGTAACTTACCTATCGACAAAAATATAAATAAAAATATCACTATCATAAGTCATTCAGCGAGAATTTCGTAAGAAGTGTATTAATATTGGACAGTTATCATTTGTATAGTTTAATTAATTTAGACTCTTTATAGATTAATAAAAGCACAAAGATTAATCAATAAATTGTGATATAAGATTATCTTTATCACTTTAAGGAAATAAAACATTTCAAGTATTAACCCAATAAGGCTTTATTAATTAAATACAAACAAATAACCTTGTAGTACTTACTATAAGATTGCTTGATGTCGCCGCCTTTTGTATTTTTAAAAATCGTAACACTAGTTACTTATATTTAAGAAGCTTGTCCGGCCTCTCTCTCTCTAATATAATATTATTTTTATTACAGTCAACAAGAAACACCAACAACTGCGCTTTATGATGGCAGTAACTGGAATACTCCGGGGTATTAAGTTTATATATATATGTTTAAATTAAGCACATATCATATTATTTTACCCCTCGAAAGACTAAAGTAAAAAATAAAATTGGAAACTAGACACTTATAGACTGAGTACATATAAGATGTTATTCCAGCAATTATTTCAAATTTAGAATTTCATTATAAGCAGAACATATAACTGGCCACATAAAAAAAACTTTGTTAATGACTGTCCATGAAAAAAACACTGATAAGAAACCAAAAATAGGTTCAAGATACGGTAATTTCGCCATAGATTTAAATATACTCAACAGAATGTTGAGTTCACTGCAGCATCGACATTTAACAATGTCTCTGACTGTTCCATCCGCAATAAAAGTCACACTTAAACATAAATGATCATTCCTAGAATCATTTTCTTCTTCAAAAGTAATAATTTTAGATAGTTACCTACTTGTATAGACCTCATACCTATATGAGTGTGCCTACTATGAATGGACTATAGACACTTGATCAGATATCTTGTCACCATGACAGTCACATATTTGCCTGCCTCATACACGTCCATCAACTGTCACTCGAATCAGCGTCATTCGACATAAACAATCATGTAGTTAATTAACCATATAATACGAAGTTGCTTTATAGCTACTTATTATAATAATATCTATATTAATTTAAAACAAAAGTCAATTACCTTAACTTGCCAATAAATATGTATTTTGAGAAGTGTGAATTAGTGATAGTTATAAATTTAAGATGTTATAAATCTTAAGATATATGATATCTTAATAAGGTTATAAACGCGAAAGTTTGTAAGTATGGATGTTTGTTACTCTTTCACTCAAAAACTACTGAACGAATTTTGATGAAACTTTACAGTCATAAAGCTCATAAATCAGAATAACACATAGGCTATATTTATATTTTTAACTAACGCGAGTGAAACCGCGTGTACAGCTATTCGTATATAAAAAAATCTAAACTCTTAAGATATCGTAAAACTTTAATCTTTTAGCTGTATTTCAAATAAAAACAAGGCTTTGATTACTACTTTATACACTCCAGGGACGACCCAAATTGAGACCAAATCTAAATAAAAAGAAAAGTAAAGAAAACTTATTTCTCAGAAGTCATTCTTGGAAATTGTATTAGATACGTATTTCATTATCTATATCAGGATACTATACTCAAACTTTTAAAATATACATTTGTCAAAGTGGCTTTTTTAATGGATACATATGAAAATGTTCCGCAAACAGTACTAACGGTATATGCACCGGACACCAGTAGAGAATGATACCATGTGGATTTGCAATCTGTTATCCCATTATGGAGCCTTCACCAGGAATTATTCATGATAGTGAGAGTGATCATGTGAAGGTCAATCTAATTAGTGGTAGTGACAGTAGGTCCGCCTCGGCGAAAGGGAATTGTTAGTAATGTGAACGAATGACTTCATTGTGCTATATTGTGCTATATATGTATATTGTTTTGATAGACCCTAGTTTTAAAGTACTCCTGTATTCCATAGTAAATAAGTAGTGTATTGTATAAGTAAATTAAGGTAACAAGGATGGAATTTAATATATTTATTATTTAAAAAATGTATTTTGTCAGGTTTACCTCGGGTTCACTATTCCGCCTCCATACTCGGTTCATGCGTAATCATACAATATATAGAGTGAGAACGTATGTTAATAAACATATAACATTCTTTTCAGACCACCGCCACCACCCAGATGTGACAGTTGGTGATAACATAAACAGAAGACATTGTGGTACAAAATGAATCTCTCAAGTTGTAGCTATACAAGCTGACAATATTTCAGATAACAAAGTATCTACAAAATTGACATTTCATAGGGAGTAATCTTAAAATATCCAACGATATCAATATAATTGTAATACATAATTAACATAGACTTCACTATGCAACTTGATTGATGTGTATGATTAGTCTGAATAATACATTAATTTATCATTAATAAATGTAATAAAAACATGCACCTAGGTCTGTGTTTTTTATATATTTTTGCATGAAGTCTTTTACATATTTTTGATGTCTATCTATATCGATAATAATACCTTATATTTTTAATGAATTTAATTCATATTTTATATCAGTTGTATTTGTTACTATATACCTATTCTGTAATTACCCACTCATTTTTACATACCGAGTGTCTTATACAATGTAGACACGCAAAAAGTAGGTAGAATATATTTGAAATTCAACAACAACTTATTTCAGTCATGCATTAGACTCTAGACTTGGTTGAATTTCAAATTTTTTATATTGCATTATGTGACTGTGAAACGAAACATGTGCGAGTTTGTTACGACCAATATTACCTACTTACTTGTATACATTAATGAAAGATGTATTTTATAGAATATTTTCGTAGTAGCTTTGAGTGCGACAATCAGGTGGCCTATTTTGTTATACGAAATTTGTACCTAATTCATTTTTTTATGATAATGGCATTGTCGTAGGCGGGTGCCTACGCTAACGGTATGCTCTGTTGGCCACCAGTGAAGGATGAGCATGAAGTCAGGTCGGTTAGCTCAATTCGTTGCTAATTCACTAGTAGGTTAAACTGACGTGGTATATTATTAGCAATGGCCCATTTTCTCATTACTAATAATTCCCTCCCCTGTTATAAATAAATTTCCATATACAACAATAGTACACAAATCTCTATTTCCAGAAAAGGAAAGGATTTAGTGCACAATTGCCACGCTAGCCAAGCGGCTTAGTAGGTTTTACTTCAATTTTCCATCTCATGCGCTGGCGTATTGTACTTTATTCGCAAGTCTGCTCTTACGACATCCTATCATCTCCAATGAAAAGAGTAGTGACTCATATACTCTTATTCAAACACCACTATGCAAATGCTGATATAAAAATATATTTAAACTTAAGTTTAAATACATTATACAAATAAATAAGTGTGTGTATGTTGTCATCCTTAAAATTTTCATTAACAATGGTAACGGATGATATATTATATAATATAAATCCGGATTAACGAAAATAATTTATTCGTATGATTGCGGAATGATTAATGGGAATGAAAGATTTAAACTGGTTTTACTATGGGACACTTAATTAAATTTTTATATAATTACTTTCCGCAGAAAATATTTTCATTTAACACTATTAATAAAAGAATAAGGCACTCTTTAATCCTTTATTAATGGTATTTAAAAAAATAACAATTTCACTGAAATATACACTATTTCAACTTCAATCATTTGACTGACCTAAAAATTTCAATTCAAATCAACTTTGTTTAATAAAATTTATTACTTTGGACTACAAATGTCTATTTAATATACATCGTATATTCAAGTGTAGGCATGTTATTACAGTATGTATATGTTATAAATATACATCACGCCTTTATGTTGTTAACCTTATAATTTGCAAGCCTTACAATTCGGGTTTATTTTTAGCAGTACTTGTTTTGGCATCGATACCGCCCAATGAATAGAAACCCCTTACAACGTTTGTGCAACACATCATAAACCTAATTAGTGCTATAATCTTATCAATATTATTGATCTAAATTTAATGATCTGAGGCGAATTTACTACGTACGTATTATATTTGAAATATTTAATTAAAACGTTGAATGTTCATCTATTACAACCAGATAATTTATTAGTTCTTTCGTTTATTTTCTCGTCATATAAAGTGACAACAGTTTATTATTTTAATATTTTTATTTATAAATTAAAAAGTAAGAACAGATTAATGATGACAGAGTAATGTACTCGTAATTAAATTATAATAATTATTTTCATATCTATTGTAGATCTGCAATTATTTTGAAGTACAAATATTTCGAACCGTTACCTATATACATTGACAAATTAATAAATGGAACCTGTATTATTCCAGAGTAACTATTTTTTATATTACATATTAATATATTAATAGATACAAGTCATAAAGTTATGAATACCCGAGATAATCCACCAGTGACTTCCACAATATTGACATAAATATTAAAATATCGTAATGGGCTAATATATAAAAGGTAAATATTACTTATTGGGGCATAACGGTAAAGCACACATATCACTAAAAGGAACCGGAAGGTGTAAAGAACATAATAGCACACCATCTGACATTTAAGAAGTCTGGCATTGAGCCAACGTTTATTGGGCACAGGGCATCAGGGCTGGTACTGTAATATAATCATATCTTCCTGTGTTTCAACAATACACTATTATTTTGCTTCATTTAGATAGGATTCTATTCGATCGTCGTGTAGTTTTAAACAGAAAGATTAATATTATAAAGAAGGGGGGTATCTTTATTTGAGGAAATTTAATAAATTTTCACCTAACTAACCTCACTCACAATGAAGACGAATTTCTTGACTCTCGAATAATAATTGTCATGACAGATGAAAATATAGTAAGTGTATTAAATTCCTTATATACCTACTATATATTGTTTATATTTTAATAATAGGTTACAATTCCTGTGAGTTACATTGAGTTCATATTTAGTAATTTCACTGGCTTGAATTATTTTAACGTATCTAAATCTACTATATAATAATAGAAAGAATAGACATTTCCATATAAAGAATTCTGACAACCCTGATTGACGTTGTCTACCTCATTCTGTTTACTTGGAGTTCATATTTTATTCGTTGCGATAGCCAAATGGTACAAACAGGTATCAGCTATTTCCACACATGTACAGTTAATTACGATATAATGGAATTAAATCCGTAGAAGTAAACAAATATTGCAGTTGTGACAATAATTAAAAGTGCACCATAATATATGATACAATATTTTAAAAAGTTACATAAGTAGTATTGAATCGCCCAATTTCAATGTTTTCTTCGCTATATTTACGTGAAATTTAAAGAATAGGCTTGAAATACAGATAATTAATCAAATCCAAACTAATTTGATCGTTACTTGTAATTAGTTTAAAATGGAATTGAACATAGAAAAGTGTTTCATCACAACTGTTATTACACCAGTTATTTTTGTGATACTTTTCTATTTAAGATGATGACATACTCAAATAATAGAACGTCATTTAGACTAAATAAAAATCCACTTCAAAATTTGCAAGCAATAAAGGACACACCCGGGTAACCGCGACTAGTGACATAAACATATGCAAATGTACAATTATAGTTGCGCAAGCGCAGCTCAGATGTAATGATCCATCGCCAACCGGTTAACATTTCTCGTGGCCTTAACATCGCCGAATATGTTTCGACACACACAGAGATCAACTTGGCTTTATTGTTGGTCATTCTCGTCTGCAAACCTCTGTAACCGCGTCAGCTGATCGATACAAATTTCGTGTAGAATTTTCATTGTAGGTATTAATATTAAAATCAATGTCACAAAATTATTTTTTGTAAAGCGTTTTTGCGTAAATCTACTCAAAATACAAAATTCTAAGGAAACACTCAATAATATAATGTAACATTAGATTAAGTAAGCAAGTTAATATTAAATGGACACTTTATAAAAAAAATTACAAAAAAATATCACTAGTAAATAAATAAATTCCGAAATAAATACTTACCCCTAAAAATATTACATTATTTATTTTTTTACTTATGTACATGTGGTAATATCATTCATAATTACATAGTACAAAATTTACACATGTTTACGAAATAAAAATAAGAATAGCAGAAAATAAGATAAATAAAAGCCTAGTAATAAGTCATATTGTAAAAAATGCAAATATTGTAAATTTTTAAAATTATAATATCCCTGTTAGATTAAGTGTAGTATTTAATAAATATTTTTGTTCAATATTGTGTGTATTCCGTAGTTACAAGTGAAATGTACATAAAACAAAAATGTAGCAAGTGTGGAACTACTCAATTTATTTTCTTGTTTTATTCATGAAGGAAAACAGGCCTATTATATTATTGTAGTCTCTATTATATATATTATTCTAGTATCTAATACAATTATACAATTATGTCAGTGAGTTCGTGATGTTAATAGTTCAAATTTATTTATATTAAAATGGACACAATAACTACAATACTAATTCTAACTATATAAAGAAATTTCATAACACTTTTGACCGTTGTACCTACTGAGTGCATCACCTTGGCATAGAATTTTAAACAGCTAGTTATTATAAATCTGACCATTATTATTATGCTAATATTTCTGACCCTTGTAGATAATAGATGCCTACAAATCATACAATGATGTTCGAAATTACTGATATGAGAGGGATAGAGGGGATTGTAATGGGGACTAGTGGTCCCAGGTCCAGACTTGACGTGAACCATCATGTTATTTATTAGTGAATTACGACGGGCTAATAAACCTAACTTAACGCTCAACCTATCATCTTCCACCATGGTTCTCCATACCAGCGTATAACTATTGTTAGCGCAGGCCGTTACATTATTTAACTAATCACCCATTAAAAATATTGTCACTAGTCTACATCACATTAAGTGAATTATAAAAATATTAAGAAAAAGGTTCCCTTGAATCACCAGTTTCAACATTATTATATTTAAAAAATCGGTCCAACGTTGGCTACAGTATTTTATGGAGTCATTTAGGAAATATATTATACTTTACCGCCTTCTGCAAGTTAATAGATGCCAATTTCTACACGAGCGGAAATCCTAAAAAGCTCTACCTCACGCTTACAATGTATTGTAAATAGGCATTTATATTTTACACGTGTATGTAATATGTGTAACAAGGTTCTAAATACATAATTTACTTAATCAGGCAAATAACAGTTGCGAAGTAGCAATATTTTTTTACCATTGATAAAGTACATTATTCGATATTATTTTATTATATTTACCTGCCATACTTGCAATTTTTATTCATGAAATTACTGATGATGTAATTTTTTTCTAATAATTAAATCTTTTTACAGTTTTTCTACCACTACTCTATATGTTCTTTGCTCTGCTCCTTCGTC